CACACACACACACACACTAGTGACTAGAGGCTCAGATACTCCCTGGAGGCACACACTCACATGACAACAGACAGATACACAATTGCACACACACCAGTATTCTAATGGTTGTTTTGATGTTGGACGATGGCATCATGATTGTGCTGATGATGACAAAGCATTTCAGAGGGAAGAGCAGCAGTTTTGACGATCCTACCAGTGCAAGTTAAAAACAGCTGACAGGGTTTTTTTTTTTTAACCTTTTAAATGATTCAAAAATATTCTAAAAACTGTTTTAATGATAAAATAAAAATGTAATTACTCAAAGGTACTGAAGGGACTCAATTTGGGCTGCAGGGAGATTCAAGAAACAAGCAGTAACATCCAAACTGTGAATCCAATGGGAAGTTAAGGGAAGATGTGCTGAAATGATTAGTCAATGGACAGATAATAAATCTCAATTTTCTCAATCAATAATCAATTTCAGTCATTTATTTTGGCCAAACACTGAACATAATTTACTTCCAGCTTCTCAGATGTGAAGATTTCTTGCTCCACTCTGTTTTATGTCGGGGTAAATTTAATATGTTTGGATTTTGTACTTTTAGTTCAACGAAACAAGTAAAATGAAGTAAATTCTTCTCTTTTTCACGACTTTTTTTTTTTTGACATTTTATAGAATTGTTTTTGGATTCATTAGTGTATTTAAATCAAATACTTTTTTTTTATTCAAAGATTCAAATAATCATAAGTTACATCCTTAATGGGGGGTCTGAACTTAATATAGAGGCTGCTAGTCTTGACCACCATGTTATTAGATTTATGGTAATTATAGCAAAGTGTATGATGCCCATGATATAACAATAACAAATCATGTTCATGTAGCTTTAAGTATCAACAGCTTCTTCGTGTTACAGGTAAAATCTCAAATAACCTTGCAGGTCAGTGTGGCCTTGTGCTTTCAGTATCAAGTATAGATGATTTCTTGGGTTCGGGATTGGTTTGGTTAATCTGTATTTCTGTTCCTGTGGTCATGTGATGACGTCTCCCTCTGTCACAGTGGTTATAGCAGCCATGTTTACTGGTCTTGACTCACTTAGCAGTAACTGTACACACATACTCACTCATGCACACGCACACACATAAACATACATCTCACCAAGTGACGTGGTCTCTGTCTGGTTCAGCAACCACAAACACAATGTGTTAAGTCATTTTGCACCCTGAGGATAATTATGTAAGTAAGTCTGTCTGCATGTCAGGTTTACTCTGGTTATGCAATTTGGTCAGTGACCTTTTATTAACAATATTTAGCTTTCTGTCTCCTTGTATGTTCGACAGCAGTCTCACGCGAATGGGTCAAATGTGGGCAGAGTGCGTCAAACACAGGGTTTGTCTGTGAAAGATTTATTTCTCTCACTTGGCTTGCTTTAATCCTCCTCCTCTCTGTCTTTTCCAGAGTGACCAAGTTCTGGTTTGGTGTGAAAACCACAGACGCTGTGCACAGGTAAATACACACATACACACACAAGTTTGTACTGCTTCCCTTTTAAAGACATTATACTGACTTGCATTACATTTTCTGAAGGCTTATCCAAAAATTAATCACTTTGTGCCTAACCCTATCCTTGAGCCAGGCATAACCCTTATGTTAACCCTAAAACCAAGTCTTCAGTGCAGTAAAGACCAGGGTTAAACCCCTGGTAACAGTAACTCTGTTGGTGGTGTGGTCAATCAAACACAATTGGCCACGTTCATGGGTGGTAAGCCTGTGAGGGTTCTTGTCCTTTTTTGCTGCACCAGCAACTCCTACTGGTTAGTTGGAGTGGAACTGAGGGTGAACCTTTCACATGTGACATCCTAGTAAAGCTCATTCCTGTCAGGTGAAAAGAAGCATCTGCAGCACTGCCCATAAAAACAGTAGTGTTATCAGCAGCAAGGGCCGCAGTTCACAGGGGTCTCAGCTGAAAGCATAGACAATACATTTGGTGCAAGGGAGATAAGTGTGCTGATGTTTTGATCTTATTATAGTGTTGTTTTTGCTTCCAGCAATTTCTTGTTTTCATAGACTCTCTTTCGTAGGCTCTATTACACAGGTATGTATCTTTTTCGCCATATGTAATATAATGTAATTTCAATCGGGAGAGACTTAATTTTTTGAATGAACAAATATATTTAATTGACATGCGCACAATGAATATGAGAAATGTAAAAAGTCTTTGGTGATTAGACCCGATCGTGACAAACCCCCGGATGGAGTCTAGACATGTATGGTGGTGGTGGTGAAGAGAATGCTGAAGATCTGGATGTGATGATGAGTGGACTTCTGATGAGCTCTACCTGGGCATTGTATTTGATGAACTGGAGGTAAAAGTGGTGGAGGAGGGTTGCATTGATTTCACATTGAAGTGATAGCTGAATACAGCAGAGGAGGAGATTGATTGGTTTAACTGAAAGAGTAAACACCCATAGTCAGTTGATTAGAAAGGAGAGTGAGAGAATTGTGAATGATTGAGACACAATAATAGGGTCTTCTGATTGAACTTACACCGAGCTCCATGACTGTCATGCTCAATATTATACTAGGGCCATGGAAAATATGTGTTTCTGATTGGCTGCATACAATTATATAGCAGGATACCTCAAACTAATTTCTGTTTAACAATCTTAATCAGTGTGTGAAAGTATATTAAAAACCAATCAATCATAGCAAGAACAGTATTACACTGTTGCTGGTGTAATCGTCTAACTCACTTTAAACTGACACCAAATTAAAAACACAACAAGGTATTCTGCTCCTATCATTTAATGAACCTGACACAACGACAGTGCAGTGCAAAGCGAAGAGTGTCACGCTTCATCTCAAGAGACAGAGAGAGAGAGAGTCTTTCTCTTTCTTCCCGTTTGTATGGAATCTTTACACCCACCGCACGGCTCCTGTAATAGCAGAGGTTGTGTTTTTAGTTAAAATAACGTCCTCCCCTATATCCCCATTATCCATCCACCCTGGAGCAAAAATTATCCCCTGTTTATTCACTTAACACTGCCTGCCAGGACGCTCCACTGTGTGTGAGTGTGTGTGTGTGTGCGTGCATGTGCTAATTCATTGTTTGATTCAAGAGGAGTTTCCATGCGGCGTATTTTTAGCTGCCAGTCTGTCCACTCCGCAGCAGTTCCTGCTTGTTGCAGCTTTCTGGACATTACTGTGGGTGTTGTAGACCGCTGGTCCCATCTCGGACACACAGACAGTGGGTGGATGAGACAGAAACTGGGTCTCCATATTTTGATGCAAATGATCATGTTTGAAATCATAAAGGCTAAAAGATGAAAACCAAATTTCCGGAAAATGTTAATTTTAATATAAAAAGCTAATTTTGATCACTTAATAATGTAAGTGAGAGCAGAACTTAATTTATGTGTTAAGTGATGATGCTGTGTAATCTGCAGCCAAAACAAATCTGTAAAATATCTGTCCACCATGACCTTTTACTGTCTGACCTTAACATGCTCAATATTAATGACGTCTTGAGTGATTCTGTCTGGTTTTCTTATTTATGTGTTTTCTGAACTCTCCGTTCAGGTTCAGATCTATTTAAACGCTTCATCCCAGCTGAAAGCACACCTGAATCGCATTTTACTTCTTGCAACATTTCCAAGCTTTGCCACAAATTCACATGACAGTGGAATAAAGGGCAAACGTGAGAAACAAGCGTGAGAGCGAGAGCTTTTTTTTCTATATATATGTATCAGTAGTGTGTGTGTGTATGTTTAGGTCAGCTGGGGTTAATGTCAACAACAGCCCAAGGCCATGCCCCCCTAAAAACTCCCACCAGCAGCCCGTTGCAGGAGATACCACACTGAGCAAAACATCAGACATTAACTTCCAGCTTTACCTAACCCCCCTGACTGCCTCGAAAAAAACCAAAAACACAGACGGCTCCTTTGACCTTAACAAAACTTATCTATATTCTTTCTTTCCTTCCTTCTCTGCCCTCCTTTGTTTCTATTCCTGATGTTTAGAGTTCAACAAAGAAACAGAGAGAATGGAGAACGGAAAATATTTTCGAGTTTAATACCATGTCTAAACTTTACTACCCTGGCTTTGTGTCTTGCTGTTGTACATGTGCGAATACCAGTGTGGCACTATGCTGCAACCGACGTCCAACAACAGTCTCTGAAACAGGCCAGTGGGGGCTGACGCTGTGTAAACCACAATTTTCCTCTCAGACAGCCTGATACTGCACAGACATGCACAGAGTCTCTTCTTGCTTGTTTGAATTGCAAAGTTATTAATCCTTACCGTTTTACAGTCTGTTGAAAGTGGCTGCAGCCCAATTTGTAAAAGTCACCATAGCAGGCCAACAAAAATAAATTAGAACAGAAAAGCACATATCCCAGTCCTCGGCCATAATTGCCAAGATTAATCAAAATAATGAATTATACAACGGAGGAAGTCCAACACAGTTTAATGCTCCCAAGGTGTGTATATTTGTTAACAGGATATGTGGGAGATGTTTAGAGCTTGGCATTTTTTTTTTATTGATTATGCATCTTGGGAGCATTATACAATAAGGAAAGTCCACTTTATTATTGTTTCATTAGGCTTTTCCATTCCCAGGGGTCTGTTCCACTCTGTTCTGTTAGGTCTGCATTTGTTCTAATACCATATTTCATTTAAGAAGGTATAGCAGAGATCGCGGGTTATAAGGAACTACAGAGAGACGGATGAAGATATTGTTTGAAATGTTTAAGTCCTGCCTGCAGCTCTGGGGATGGCAACGTCAGTCCACCACTTTTAAATGGATTGCCATTAAATTCTTTACAGACATTCATGGTTCCCAGAAGATGTATCTTAATGACTTTGGGGATCTCCTTACTTTACTTCCAACGCCACCATGAGGTTGACGTCTGCGGTTTTGTGTGAAAAATGTCAACACCTGTTGGATGGATTGCCATGAAACTTTGTACACACAGTCATGTTCCCCTCAGGATGGATTGTGATATATTTGGTGATCTCCTGACGTTTAAACAAGCGCCATCGTCGGGTCAAAATATCAGTTTGTCTAATTCTTTGGTGTGTCAAATCCCTGAAAAAACTAATGACATTCACATCAGCCTCAGCTGTACTTTGGGTTTAGTGCTAAGTAGCAAATGTTGTGTGCACGCTAACACACTCAAGAAAGATGGTGAAAATTGTAAACATTAACATCAGCATGTTCGTCATTGTGAGCATGTTAGCATAATAACGTTGGCATTTAGTAGACTATTAGTTTTGTTAATGCTAGTGATGAAATGACACCAGTTTCGGTAAGTAACAGTCCCTTTTTATGGATATGTTACTAATAGAAATATAAACAGAAGCTTCCTAAATATTAAATGGTCTAATCACTAGCAGCTAGAAAAGATCCCGAGAAGGAGAGAGGGGAGGAAGTCGTGAGTCCACTGGTCCTTAGCTGTTGATCCGTTGGAGGAAAAACACTCCTCTGCACAGTTTGGTTTTCAGACTTTTTCTCTGGAGAGCTACATTTTTCTTATGTTTATAAACCCAATTTTAGGGCCATTAGTCAGGCAAATCTAACAAAATGTGACTTGGTCTCTACCTACATTCCACTGCAGGATCTCATAAAGCATTTTGGCAGTGTAACACACTCACTAACTTTTGACAGAGATTTTTACAGAATAATTTGGGGACTGGTATTACTTTTCCCTCAAATCCTTTTTGGGTCCTTATCCAGATTTGGAGCAGTGCTGAAATAGGTTGTTCTCACTGAGTTTTAACATGTGTAACACATAGCCAGTCTATCCGCTCACAGTCACACACCACTGGTGCACAACTGGTTTCACAGTGGCGAAACTAAAGGATTCATTTAATTTCCCATGTCATCTATTTCACTTAAGAAGCTGAAAGCTTGCAGTGATCCATTATTTCGCAAGGAAATGGCACAAAAGTATGTTAAAAAAAGCAAGGTACCCAGGAGCATTAAAAATACATAACAACTTGTATTTGTCCAAAGTTACTCCTCTACTGGGTGGCGTAACATTACAATACAAATATGATACAATAGGAGAAAGAGGGATGAAAGAAATTAAACAACACATAAAGAAAGGTAAGCTTTGTCTCGTCAACTGTGGTGCTTTATCTGTGCTTTTGTTACATCACAGCCTTTCTGTTGAAGACACGCACACCAGGCAGATGTTGCCCCAACACATATGGTTTGTGTCACATCATCAGTGGACTTATGGAAACACACATGGGAGTTCACTAAAACTGAACAACAGTCCTCACTCAATTCCTCCATCTGTCCATCTCCTCCTTCTTTTATCTCTTTCCCTTTCCCCCTCTCTCTCTCACACACACATGCAGAGTAGACGTAGTAATGTGTACCAGGTGTGTGAGGCGGCGGGATGTCCACTAACAAACAGGTCGGATGCAGAACAAAGGAGCAGAGCTATCAAGTCACTGTTGCTCTTCCTCTTATCATCCTCGCTTCCTCATTCCTCATAACT